AAGAAAGAAAGAAAGAAAGAAAGAAAGAAAGAAAGAAAGAAAGAAAGTTAGTTCAAACCCTGCTCCAAGACTTTTTTTTTTCAAAATATTCAGTTGCTGCTGTTTTTTGCCCTTGCAAAATGGCTCAAAAGTGATCAGTGCCTGTAGCCATTCAGAATGAAGCCTAAATAACGGCACCTGCAGAGTAGCGTCATCATCCTGCAACGGCTGCATGTATGTGTTTGTGTAACCGACGCTGTGTATGTGTTTGTGTAACCGACGCTGGTGCGGGGGCATTCATGTCCTAGTATTTGCACAGTGTCTGTGCCACGACTTCCATTTTATCCCGTGCCTCCTTGAAGGGGCCACTACGCTAATCCTCGAGTTACAAAGTTACAACGGATTCTTAAACCCGGATTTGAACTTCCAAAGCCCACCACCCAAATAATGTGATTGGGTCTGGGGCCTTGTCACTGCTGTTTGCAGCATCCCACAATCACCTCACCACAATTGACAACGTATTCTTTTTTGTCGGAAACTGGGGTGTTCCCTTCCAGCTATTAGCCTCTGTCATCGGGGAAGCCAAATTCACTTAACCACCACGTTCCTCGCTTAGTGACTGCAGCAATTTGCTTCACCGCCACGGCAAGAAAGATTGCGACAAGGGGCAGAATTCACTTCACAACCATGATGCTAAGCAACAGAAATGGTGGGCTCAATTGTGGTCGTAAGTCAAGGACTTATCCTGCATGGCAACCCACTTAGCGATCAACATAATTTACCACCCTGATTCTGGGCTCCATTAGGGTCCTAAAATGGAGGACTACTGGTTATTGAGGGGTGCGTGTGAATGTTTTCATAACAGCACCCCCCCCCCGCTTTTCCATTCACTCCCAAAGGGGTGGGGTGGATGATGTCATTAGTCATAAATCAAGGACTATCTGGATTAAAGGTCAAAGGTAAAGGTTCCCCTCACACATCCATGCTAGTCATTTCCAGCTGTAGGGGGCGCTTGCTTATCTCCATTACAAAGCCGAAGAGCCAGAGTTGTCCGAAGACGTCTCCGTGGTCATGTGGCCGGCGTGACTAAACGCCGAAGGCGCACGGAGCGCTGTTCCCTTCCCACCAAAGGGGTCCCTATTTTCCTACTTGCATTTTTTTATTACGTGCTTTCGAACTGCTCGGTTGGCAGAAGCTGCTGGGACAACTTAACGGGAGCTCACTCCGTGACGCGGTGCTAGGGATTCGAACCGCTGAACTGCCGACCTTTCTGATCGACAAGCTCAGCGTCTTAGCCGCCGAGTCACCGCGTCCCTTTGAATTAAGCGTAAGCAACTGGGTTAGATTGGATTTCGGGTTTAGGCTTAACCACAGTTGGCGCCTACAGCCGAGGCAGTGGCATCGAGCAGGAGTTGCCATCCCACCTGTGGCATCTCCTTTCAGTTCTGCAGCCTCCCAAGTTTCCATCAGACCCTCCCTCTGCCTACCCCGCACCACCCTTGGCATCCGCGCTCCTTCGCGAACACCGTCATGGATGGTTACCGCTTCTTTTAAGGTGTCATCATCGACATCGAAGTTGGAGGTGTCGGCCGGACTGGCCACCTCAGGGACCAAGGGAGGAGGGCTCTTGCGGAGGTCCTCCCAGTCGATGCCCTCAAAGAAAGGGTGTCGCGTGAAGTCCTCGATGCCCTTCTGGCCCAGGCGGACTTCTTGGCGGCACAAGAGCTCGCGGATCAGGTCCTTGGCGCTCTCCGAGACGTCGGTGATATCCGGGGGGAACTGCAGGTGGTCCTGGAAGAGGAAACAGAAGGGGGTGTTGTGGTTCACTGGTAGCCTGTGCAGACAGTAGCGGAACCGGACAGTGGGGAAGAACGGGGACCAGTCGTGGAGTCTGGGGAGGACTCAGACGAGGGTCCTGCGTCCGATGCAGAGAGGGGGCCAGGACCATCTGGGAGTGGGGTGCTGCCTCTGGAGCCTGGCAGCAGCGAGGCTGAGGACCCAGGGGAGCCTGTTCCCAGTGCGCGTGTGCACAGAGTTGCCAGAAGGTGAGAGCAGCTAAGACAAAGGGGTGACTCAAAAGTAAGGCCTGGAGTTGATTGCCCCTCCGATAAGATATAAAGGAAGTGCAAAGATAGGAAAACCTTTGCAGGAAGCAAAGTCGTTCGCTCTGTTCAGATCAAACCTTGAAGCTCTGTGTGGACTTTGTACTTCAATTGGGTTTTTACAGTTCATTTGGCACTTTAATTGTTGGCAACCATTCAAAGGAGAGAAAGGTGGGTGCTTATCTCGAGGAACTGTCTGGCTCTCATTACAGGCTGAGAATGCACATAATTCCCAGCATTGAAATAAAACAAGAGTTGTTTTAATTAAGCGTGTACTTAATTATGGTCTCAGGAAGCCTTGGTCAGAACACGGGGGATGTAAGGGGGCTCAGCATCTCAGGGGGTCTATCTGCTACCCTTGGGCAGCTGGTACCAATAGGGGGCGCTGTGCTCCGCCGGGGACTCCAGAAACCAAAATTCCTGGAGTAACCAAGATCATGAAAACGACAGATCAGGGTTTAAGCAAGGACAAGAGGTTGCACACCTGCTAGAATTCACTGTACATTATTAGAAGTGAAGTGGCAAGTTCACCCTCCAAGAACGGACTATAGCTAGTCCTCGACTTACAACTATTTGTTTAGTGACCATTCAAAGTTGCAACAGCAGTGAAAAATGTGATTTAGGAGTCTTTTCACATAGCCGTTGAGGCATCTCCATGCAAGATCCTAAGTTAGACGCTTGGCAACCAATTCATATTTATGACGGTCGCGCTTGTCCTTGAGTCACGGGAATCCCCTTTTGTGACCTTCGGACAAGCCAAGTCCAAGGGGGGGGGGGGGAGAGAGATGGATTCATTTAATGACCAGTGACTTAACGAGCAGTGATTCGCTGAACAGCGGTGGCAAGAAACGGGGCATTAAATGGGGGCAAAACGCACTTCTCAGCTCCGCCCAAATGGAAATGCTGGTCTCAATGGTGCCGTATGTTGAGGACTCCCCGTAAGACGTTTGCGCCGCTACTGGATGGATAAGAAAAGCCCTGCAAGTGGGATCGTTTGAGGTGACTGCAAAAGCGAGCCAAGCTGCGTTGGGAGGGGAAATGGAAGCGGGTCACACCCAGGGCGGGCAGCCAATTTGATTCAGGGAAGGAGTGGCCTGGATCTTTTGCCCAAGGCAAAGAAATGCGGTCCATCAGCTACCGAACAGGTGCAAAATCCAGCTGTTTGAGCCTGAGAAATGGAAGATGGGCTTAGGAGTCCTCCCGAGGACCCCTAAGCCCATCTTCCATTTCTCGAGCTCAACATCTGGACTGTCCCTATCTCCTAGATCTGAAGATTTCACAAAAAAAGTGGAAAGAAGGACCACTGCTTAGCTCTGCGTCTCTTCCTGGTCGTTAAGTCTTGTCTTCCCTCCTGATCCATCTTCCTCTTGTGCCGTGAATCCTAGATTGTCTGCGTGAGGAAATCAGAGCTGGAAGGGACCTTGGAGGTCTTCTAGTCCAGCCCCCCGCTGAAGCAGGAGAAGCTATCCCGCTTCAGACAAAGTGGCTCTCCAAGTCTCCTCTTAAAAACCTCCAGGGATGGAGCCCCCACAACTTCTGGTGGCAAGCAGTTCCACTGGTTAATTGTCCTCGATGTCAGGTAGTTTCTCCTCAGTTTCAGGTTGCTTCTGTCCTTGGTGAGTTTCCATCCGTTGTTTCTTGTCCTGCCTTCTTTGGTGCTTTGGAGAATAGCTTGACTCCCTTCTTCCTTAGGGCTGCTCCTCAAATACTGGAAGACTGCTGTCATGTCCGTCCGTCCGTCCCACCCCCCCCAGTCCTTCTTTTCTCTAGACTGGCCAAACCCAAATCCTGCCTAGGGTTTCCAGACATCCTAATCATCCTAATCATCTTCTTTGCACTTTGTCCAAAGTCTCAACATCTTTTTCTTTTGTAACCTGGGGACCAAAACTGGATGCAGGATTCCAGGTGTGGCTTTACTAGGGCTTTGTAAAAGCTGCCGCTGGGCAGAGCAGGGGAGAGGTAGAACGAGGGAGAAGGGGTTCAGAGGAAGACCCAGACCCACCCCCTCTTCATCCTAGAGCATGCAGGAAGGAACGGAGAAGAGAGCAAAAGGGGTTGCATGGCTTACGGGGGAGGAAAGGGCCCTGATTCCCTTCATTAGCCACACCTGGGAAAATAGTTTAAAAGAGATGCAAGCTGAGTGCGGTGTCTGCTAGGAACAAACTGTGTCTTCCCAACCATGTTGAATTATGGCTGTTCCTTCACATCTGGAATTCCTTCTCCTGCCCTGCCAGTCTAATGACCTCATCTCGCCTTGATTGGACTTATAGTTCCAGTTTTTGTTGACCACGTTTTGGCCTGGATTCTCTGCAGCCCAAGGCTGTTCCTGGGAGGGTTTTTCTCCAGCCCAGAAGGTAACCAGGACATTGGGGTCAAGGTTGGAACTATAAAGGGACTCCTACTGATCATCTGACTGGGTTGCCTTTGTGCCACGCCCCTTTGGGTCCTCGCGCTATACTTGTTTTGAAGAGCGGAGGGGTTGGTCCTTACATTCTCTCTCGGATACACTTCCGCGGCCTCTCCCACCTATGGCGCCCAACTGGCTCACCTCGTGGTTCATGATCTTGCCGTATGTTTCCACCAGGGACTCGGCGTAGAAAGGGGTTTCCCCGAAAAGCAGCTCGTACATGCAGACCCCCAGAGACCACCAATCACACTCGGGGCCGTATTTGCCTTTTCGGTCCTCCATGGCTTGCAGAATCTCAGGGGAGATGTAATCGGGGGTGCCCACTGCCACCGAGGACTCCACCTGGGGGATGCGGGGGGGGGGGGGGGAAAGCAGAGCCCAACTTCAGATCCTATCGCCTTTCCAATTGAGCCTTTGGATTAAGATCTAAAGAGCCTTTTTAGATCGGTGGTTGTTGTTGTTTTCTTAAACTCGGCAACTTTGGGAAGGGTGGGCTTCAACTCCCAGAATTCCCCAGCCAGCGTGGAATTATGGGAGTTGAGTTCCACACATCTTAAAGGGGCCAAAGTTGATAAATGTTGCTGCGCACCAATACAACTAGGCACAAGGAGGGTCTTTTCCCGGACACCAGAGGTGGGTATTCAACAGGTTCTGACCAGTTCTGGAGAACCGGTAGCGGAAATTTTGAGTAGTTTGGAGAACCGGCAAATCCCACCTCTGATTGGAGATTTTGCAGTATCCTTCAACTGCCACGCCCACAGAACCGGTAGTAAAAAAAGTTGAATTCCACCACTGCCAAACACTGTCACTCTGGTAAACAACTAATTTGTTGAACATGGTGATTCTTGACTCTTGACGGACGTCTCTTTTCTTTTATCTACACTGAGAGCATTTGCACCAAGACAAACTCCTTGTGTGTCCAATCACACTTGGCCAATAAAGAATTCTATTCTATTCTATTCTATTCTATTCTATTCTATTCTATTCTATTCTATTCTATTCTATTCTATTCTATTCTATTCTCTCCTGTTCTATTCTATTCTATTCTATTCTATTCTATTCTATTCTTCAATCCAATATTCTATTCTATTCTATTCTATTCGACTCTATTCTTCATTCCAATATTCTATTCTATTCTGTTCTGTTCTATTCTTCATTCCAATATTCTGTTCTATTCTATTCTATTCTATTCTATTCTATTCTATTCTATTCTATTCTATTCTATTCTATTCCTATTCCTATTCCTATTCCCATTCTATTCTATTCTTATTGTACCCTATGACTATTATTAAGTGTTGTCCCTGATGATTCTTGACGAATGTCTCTTTTCTTTTATCTATACTGAGAGCATTTGCACCAAGAGAAATTCCTTGTGTGTCCAACCACACTTGGCCAATACAGAATTCTGTTCTGTTCTGTTCTGTTCTGTTCTGTTCTGTTCTATTCTATTCTATTCTGTTCTGTTCTGTTCTGTTCTGTTCTGTTCTGTTCTGTTCTGTTCTGTTCTATTCTATTCTATTCTATTCTATTCTATTCTTATTGTACCCTATACTATCATTAAGTGTTGTACCTGATGATTCTTGACTCTGATGAAGGTCTCTTTTCTTTTATGTACACCGAGAGCATTTGCACCAAAGGCAAATTCCGGGTGTGTCCAACCACACGTGGCCAATAAAGAATTCATTCATGCATCCATGCATACAAATGCTTATTTATTTGTAGCATTTCTGAGGCCTCCTATGTAAGTCATGTGTTAGCTTGATGACACCGTCATGTGGTATCATTTGACACACACTCCTTGTTGTGTCCCTCCCTGTAAACCCTTACCGCTACAAGAGTGTTTTGGCTAGTTTTCAGAATCAGCTTAGCTCTGAACTTTGGTTTAACTCTAACCTTGGCTTCGTCTCTAAACCTGGGTTGGCCCTAAACCGGGTTTAGCTCTAAATCTAGCTTAGCTCTAAACTTGGCTTAGCTCTAAACCTGGCTTAATTCTGAACCTGGCTTAGCTCTAAACCTGGCTTAATTCTAAACCTGGCTTAATTCTGAACATGGCTTAGCTCTAAACTTGGGTACGCTCTGGTTTCAGTTTAATGAAACATGCCATGTGCAACTAAACAGACCATCTTCAGGAAATGAACAGGCTCCCACCAAAACTGATGCCCACCATACAAAGCCATCCCCCTCCCTCTTCACGCTGACTCTAATGCACCGCCCAGGACCTTTTCCACACCCTGAGCATCCAGACCAGCCTTCCCCAATCAGGCCTGGACACCGATCCCCATCGGACCCCAGGCCAAACTCACCGTGCCATCCGAAGCCAGGCGGAGGCAGGACCCAAAGTCCGCCAGGCGGATGTGCCCGCTGGTGTCAATCAGAATATTGTCTGGCTTGATGTCTCTGTGGAGGGAAGGAGAGTCCGCCTTGGTAAGTGGTGGGACCCTCCGAGAAGTAGAAAGGTTGGGGGACTCTGGGGCCCTTGGGGAAGGACCAGGTGGCCACCCCCTTAAACATGGGGAGGGTTGACGTTGACAACCGTGGTGGCGCAGTGCTTAGAATGCAGCATTGCAGGCTGACTCTGTCCACAGCCAGGAGTTCGATCCTGACTGGCTCAAGTAAACTCTGTAAACTGCTTAGAGAGGGCTGTGAAGCACTGTGAAGTGGTATATAAGTCTAAGGGCTATTGCTATTTTCCTTTCCTTTCCTTTCCTTTCCTTTCCTTTCCTTTCCTTTCCTTTCCTTTCCTTTCCTTTCCTTTCCTTTCCTTTCCTTTCCTTTCCTT